TTAAGGAAAACAAAGTCATATTGGAGTGGCTGTCAAAAAGATGCGATTTCAGTCTTACAGAACTTTACCTGCAGAACTAAGAAGGTGTCTATGAGATCTATTTTGAAGGAACACTAATTCTGAATCCTAATCATACAGTTTAAAAGGAAGTTCTTACAAATGCAAATTCGTTCTTTTAAAGCTTTCTTAATTTTAAGTATAAAAGACCAGTAACTTTTTTCATGAACTTGGCATTTAAGAAACAGATATAATTATAACATTTCTAACGGACCTAAAAATGGATAAAAGGGACTTACTCACCATCTTACTTTTCATATAGGAAAATGACTTTTGCTTCTCTTTATAGAGCTTATATTCATATCTGGTTTTACACCAGATCATCCAAATGTCTCAATCATATAGAAAATTAAATGATCTCGGCATTCATGTTTTAAAAATATTAACATCAGCTCTTCCCTGACGGCATGGTGGGAATTCCTTAAAATGAGTCATCACTTAACCCGTGCAGTCGTACACGCTTCTGGAATAATCCTGACATTCTACAAAGCAATGATATGATAAACTTTCCGTACTGGAAGGATAAAGGTATTACATATCTGGATCATTTATTTGAAGGAATGGAGTTTATCACATAGGCTAGATTGAATTTGCAATATGGCATTAACAAAAAAAAAAAAAAAAAATTCTTAGAATAGAATAAAAAATTAAAGCTATTATTAGAAACAAATTTAAGCATATTGATGGAGGTTTACAAATTCCAACTAATAAGAACTTTTAACATGCCCTAAAAATGTAATGATCTTTTACAATGGAAATCCAATTGGCTCTTTGCTGATCAAAAGAACCTGAGAGTAGGTGGAGGTTTGCTTGGACTTCTGCTGACCGCTGACTTCCTGTTTAGGCAGTTCTTACTGACACCTAGTGTTATTTAAAGAGACAACTACAAGTATTTATCTAAGGAATGACACTGAACAGCAATCAGCAGCAGATACAACACTAAAAACAAACTAATAGAGATCTTTTTTAAACTCTGGCTAAAGCAAGGTGGCCAATAAACATTCAATTCTTTATATATTTTTATACTGTATCCACAATCCATAATGTATTTTACTGGGAGGGAAATGTCACATGCAGTAGTTGTTAAACTTCCAACTTTACAGTGTATTGCATGTATTCCACCTCTTTTACTCTGAGGCAGATTCCGTGCCATCAGCAGTTGGTGATAGTGCACTGTTCAGATAAGAACAAAATTAAACACTTATTTTACTGTTTACTCCTCATACGTTCCTTTTAATAGCATATTAATGTGGCAGCATCATGCTGTGGGCTTGCTTTTCCCAGGCAAAGGCAGGGAGGCTGGTCTAAATTGATAGGACAATGGATGTAGCTTAAACACAGGGCAATCCTGAAAGATAAACTGTTAGAGGCAGCAAAACATTTCAGTCCAAGAAGAAATTTTACTTTCTGGCAACATAATTTCCCTAAATGTTCTAGTAGAACTACACTGGAATTGTTTAAATCAAAGTATATCTAATGGTTTGAATAGTCTATTTAAAGCTGGGGATATATGGAGAGGCTTGATAAACCTATAATGAGATCCTTTCCATGCAATCGGACTGAACATAAGCTATGCGGTGAATAAGAATGGAAAAGTTAAAGTCACTAAGTGCAAAGCTGGTAGAGGAATATCTCAAAAGATAAGGGGTTTTAAAGGGAGTGAGATATACCTGCAAACCACATGTTTTAGATTTGGAATGTGTTGCATAAAACTGTTGAAAAGGAGCCGATAGGTCTTCAGCCGACGCTTACTGCTAAGGAGTTAACTAAGGTGATGAGCAGCGGTAGCTGCTGAGTGAGAGCTAAAGTTCTTTAAAGAAAAGGAAAAAAAAACTCTGAGGCAGGGAGGAACTGTGAGACTCCTTGTCTGCATTCAAAATAGGAAAAAACACTGGAAAACACAGAAAATTTACTTATTTCCTAGGTGTAACTAACTCTGGTTTGGGGTAATTGTCAGCAACCTTTTGCATAATCTTTTTTTTTCTTTTTTGAGGTTATTTCCTGATACTTTGAGTCATCTGTGTGAGCCAAAGCAAAATGAAGGGAGAGACGCGTGAGAAAAATCTTTTGCCCTCGCCGGCATGTTCTGCATTTTTTAATCAAGGAGGAAACAGGAACTGATGTCACTGGGTCACAAACAGGATGCAGTGATTATAACACAATGAAAATGCCTGGCTGTGTTATGGACACCCAGAGGCCAAAGAGCAGAGCCCTAGCAAGTGCAAACCAGGGTGCGGTGTGTGTGTCTGCTGATTGGTGTGAGGACTGCAACCATGGGAAGAAACTCTTAAGAGCTATCAGGCTGGGTCAGGTAGCAGACCTAAGAATAAGATGCTTTAACTGGATGATTAATCATAAAGATGACATCTAGATGAGGAAGTTCCCTTTTACAAACTTTTGTTGTTTTTTTCACTGTAATTGTATAATCTTGTAGATGAGGATGCCCAGGTCAAATGCCTGACAGGATACGGGTGAGGAGGGAACAAAACAGATTCACTGTAGTGTTGATAGCTGCTGATTAGTCCATGTTGACGTTTAGAGGATCTTTGTTAATTGGAAGCAAAAGACATTTTCATAACCTGGATGTGCTATAAAAAACAAAACAAAATCAAGGTTGTTTTGAACGTTATTTCATTGAAGCTTTCCAGATTGATCAGATGGCGTTCGACAACTACGATGAAGATAGTTTTTATTTATTTTATTTATGGATTTCTCTCAGATTTACTGGTTCCCATCTGGTTTCGGCCTCCTCTCTGATGTCGTGAGGGAGCAGTGCCAGGCCCGCTCCCCTGGCTTTGTTTGCTGGAGTGTGTGGTATAGAATGGGGCATTGAAATATTGCTCCTAACCCTGAGGGGGAAGCAGGCAGTTGGGGAGCCTGCAAGAGCCTGATTTTTTTTTTTATGGGAGGAGGTCTGTACACAGTGTGGGTCATGCACACGGGGTGAGAGGCATGGCATATGCTGCTGTTTTTATGGCATCGCAGACTCCCTCTTCGAGCTCCCCCCACACGGCATCTGTTTGGCTGGCTGTGTGTCTGCACACGGATGCGTGTGCGAGCATTACGAGAGGGGTGAGGGGCTCGAGGTTCCCCTTTGCCCCGCGCCTTGGCTTTGTTTCACCATTTTCAGCTCGAGGGGGTGGTTTCCCTGGAAACGGATTTGAATTTCAAGCCAATTTAAAGGCCTGAGAGAGAGAGGAAGAGAGAGAGAGCAAGGGTGTGGGTGAATGGGGTGGGAGCCAAAAGCGTTTCCAGGAATTACTCGAGGTAGTGATGCTACAAGCAGGGAAGCATTTTGTCAGTGCTAGGCAAGTCCTGCTGGACATCAATGCTTCATCTGACGGCACTAAACAGTGAAACTAGGATATCTATTCGGGAGTAATGGTTCTGCATTGCTATGGTGAAAAACACATCAGTCATGTTGACTTTCGTTTGTTCTTATTAACAATGTGTTTTCATTTACCAAGATCTGAATAAGATGTTCTAAAACGTTCTAGGCTCTGTCTGGTCTTTCATGAAGGTAAAGGCATACTGTATATTCTCAGTTACATTCCTCTAATAGATACATTTACATGCACTGGGTAATTCTTGCTAAATTGGGCACAGACAAACCTCAGCTACTGAAAAGAAGCATCACTGCTTCTAAAAGGAACCAGACAGAGAACTATTGCTGCATGCTGAGCCATGAAGATCTTGATAGGCTAGTTGTTGGTGTGTGTTGTGTAACACAACTCTAGATCATTTTGTTTGCAGAAAGTGACAAATCTGATTCTACTGCTACACTGATGACAACCTGACTTATATAAACATGAAGCTGATGTTTCTGATCAGGTGCCTAGCTTTTATGTAGGAGAAATAACGTGCTGGTTTGCAAATTAAATCTTTCTTTTGAGCTCTGACAAAACCAAAAAAGTTGATCTGGCCATTGAAATTCGGTAGCCAACCATACATGAGTTTTCACAGGTTTGCTTTAGCCTCAAATCAAGTATAAGCCAATTGGAAGTCATTCCTTTGTTTAAGAACAAAATGAAACCTTTTTCCATCTGTCTTAGGTGTAAAAACAATGAGGTTTTTACATGTAAATTGTGTGCAAACACACAAAACCTGTAGATTTCAGCAGTATCCTTTAACCAAGTTACATTTCAGCAGTTGATACAGAAAACTAGATATGTTACTGAAAAGAGATCATACCACTTTCTGACACATCACCATGTTCACCATTTTTTTTTACCTAGACAGAGGAGCCTGTATCACAGCAACCAAGGTCTTCATATCCTGATCCATCCTACCATCACCTGTGACCAATATGTCATCAAGACACCTAGACATCTGCTAAAGGCGGACCGTGACCAAGATTATACTGGTCTGAGATAACTTCTTATTGCTGTTTAATTATCCAGATTATATATCTGGGTTGTCTGTATTACAGCTGCTCATTGATAGTGTTCTTCATTTCAAATGTAGGGAAACAGCTGACTTTCAAAACCCCCAAACCCTAAAACCAGTTGTAAACACATGACGCATCAGACCATTGTTTCTTGTTAACATCATTATTTAAAAGCATCTCAAAATAATCTGTTTTTTAATTTTAGTGTCAGTTTTATTTTTCAGAAGTTTGGTCCTTATAAATATGCATTATATACAAAATAATATTATAAAACATATAAAGAGCAGTGTCATATTTAAATTAAACTCTGGAAATAATCATTTAAAAAAAAAATTACATTATTGTTTTTTCAACTTTGTCTGAAATTTACTATAGGCAGGCAGTGGTGTGATAGTCTCTTTCGTCTCCTCTTGAGTCTCGGTTATTTTTCTTTTCCAGTTAGCCTGCATAAGACACATTCCTATGCACACTTTCTCTGGGATTTTGCTGGCACTGCACTGACTTTCGGGCTCCTGTGGTTTTTCTCCTAAAAATCCCTGTTGATTCAAAAGCGTTCTTTTTTTTACGTTCTTGTTTTATATGGTAGTGCAAATGAACAGACAAGGGTGCCAATTTAGCATTGAAACCCCCTCTTTTAAGGCTTCTGAAGTGAATTTGGGCTGCATACAATCTCCACCCATGTGCTGACCGAATCCAACTAGTCTTTTTTTCCCCAACGTCACGAACAGCTGAGGGATATTTTCGCATATTCGTAGCTATCATTGTTGTTGAAGTTGGACTGGGACAGCGGGTGAGTTCACTCCTTTCGATCCTGAGTCTTGCATAGCAGGCAAAGCTGGCGGGAGTGATTATTGGGGAGGGAGGAACGGGAAGTCGGGGTGATTTGGGGGGAGTCAGATCTTAGGCACCTTTATTCTGATTGGTTGGTTGGCTTTCAAAGTCATTATGATTATCAAACAAGGCCGGGTCAGTTATGAGAGGGGCAAACATCCACCTTTCTTCTCCTTTAGCTGTCCAGGCTGGCAAATACTCTAACTGAGCATTTCCCAGATGCTTTGTCCATCTTCAAACCACAGCTGGTCAGTCTGATTTGCCTTCCATCCATTTGGAAAGGTCCTTCATTGTACACGCTTTGCATACAAACACTCGGTCAACATTAGATTTTTCAGCTCCGTCCTCCTCCTGCTGTGTTTCGACTTTTTATTTTAGGCCAAACGTCTCGGCCCTCTATAGTTCCTCAGTGTTCCAGAGAAGTGGCGAGCATCTAAAACAATCCCCGGACTCCTCTCAGCAATTTGTAAACAATCCAGAATATTACATTCTGCCTCGATTGTGTCTCAGTCATGCGTCCAAAACTCTGACCTCTCACAGTTTATACCTGTGGGAAAAACAAAGGAGGGAAAAGAAATGAGTCTACAGCAAAAAAGGCTTTGGTTGTCCGAACTGTGTAAATACATTAAAACAAATGATTTTCCAAAGGTCGTAACAGCTCATAAGTTATTCTCTTTTATATTTAACTTGGAATGATAAAAAGAATTTTGCCAAATGCCACAAGAATAAAACATAGTGCCTTTGAGACCACACAGAGCCAAACATATGTGAGAAAACATTATGAGTAAAGGTTTTAGGTTATCATGTAGCCAAGATAAAGAATAGCCAGTCTAACTTACAGAAACCAATAATATGAGGTTTCCCAACCTTAAACCCCCAAATCTACAGTCTTTCCATAAATGGTAAGATCATTAAAGAGTAACAGTGCACTTGGGACCAAATACTGCATTCAAAATCTGAGAATATGCTTACCTCAGTTGCTATGACGCATTCCCTCCGCTCCTCTGCTATAACAAATACCGACTGGTACATGGAGTCTCTTGAGGAACATATTGTTGATATCCTACACTCTGGCTTTTCACTGCGTACACAAAGTGAAAATTGCATTAATGCAAAAGTACTCACAAGGGATAGCTGTACATTAGCAACTACAGGTGGGGAACAATGCAAAGTTTCCATCCAAGCTATAAAAGAAAAGCTAGTGTACTGATATTAAGAGAATCATAGCTTTAAGAGAGAGGCGACTCTTCTACATCTTTCTAAAGAGCAGAACATCATTTATGCATGTTTTGTATGCAGTAAAATGATTAAGATTTTTTTTTTAAAGAGAGGTTTAACATATAATTTCTTCCCTGCAGTAGATCAACTATCTTGGTATTTATTGCCTATTAATTTATGGCTTCAGGGCTAAAGCTAATGGCTTTTCAGAGAACGTCGGGATAAAAGTGAAGTTCTGCTCATTAAAAAAACTCCAGGCTCTAATGTTTCAAAGCAGTTTATGTGACACTCTTCCATGAACCTTCAGACTCTTGTCTGGACTGGTAAACTAAACTAACTGTGGGATATAAAAGTAAAGTGGTAAAGAATGAAAAAATACTATTACTGTAGGAGGTTTATAAACAATCATTGGTTTCTTTGTTCAATTCAAAGATTACAATATTTAAAAGGTTCATAAAATAGTATTTGCATAGATCTCTATGAGGTTTTTCAGACTGCCGTTAGATATTCGTACTCCACATGAACAAAGAAATGTATTCTTGCTCCCACAGTGAACTACGTCATTCTGTTGTCCCAGGCTTGTCTTGGGGGGGGGGGGGGGGGGGGGGGGGGGTTCTCGCTGCTTGTTTTCAACACAATATCTCTGGGCTTTCCTTTTTTGTCCGACTACTGTACTGTGGTTGGACAGCTTTAGATGACTGTGTTTGGGTAAGAAAAGCAGATTCCTCACATATCTGTCAAAATTAACACTGTAGTTGGCCAGTGGTGGTTAAACAGGCTACATCTGCTCACTTGCAGCTTTTCCTCTAAAAAATTATCCTAACAAGGAAGTCCAAACTCCATAGCACCCTGGAGTATGAACACTTTGATGCAAAACACATATTTCTTCTGATTTTTGCTAAATTGAGAGTAAGAACAAATGTCCCTGTTCTCATAGAGTATGTCGCAGCCTTTAACTAAGACCTAGTGCGGACATTAAAAAATTGAAATAGTGCAAGTTAAACGCTTATAACATTTAGCAAAACATCCTCAAGTCTTTATTTATTCTGAAAATCATTTTAAAGTTTTTCTCTTACCTGTACTTTCTACTCAAAGGCGTTTTATCTTCTAAAGTCTTGTCATAAATAAGACTTTTATCTTCTTGTGATTTTTCATCCTTAAATTCTTTTGTTTTCGAGTTGTAAGAGTCCAAGTGATAGTTTTTTTGGATAAAGTTTGATTTCTCTGTGTCACAGTCCACCTCCAGGCTGAGTTTCTGATTGGTGTTTTTCAGCTGCGATGCTGGGATCAAGTTATCGCTCTGCACCTTCGAAAGGTTGTTCATAGTCTCTGTTTCTGCACCTCGGTCCCGTGCCTGCCGGTAGATGTGCCTCAAAGCAAAGCCCACCATGCAGAGCAGCACCAGCAGCGCCACAAGACCCACAGCCAGAGAGACTGCGGCCCACTGGAAGCCGTCTTCACCTGTAGGCTCAATTGTAGCGAAGGATTCACACCGAGGTCCAGTGTAGCCAGGAGGACAGGTGCAGGCTGCCTGACTCTTCCCTGGGCCACTACCTCCGGTGCAAACGCCTCCGTTGAGACAGGGCCTTACAAAACACTCATCCACAATTCTGTCACATTTGCGTCCGCTGTAACCTGCTGGGCAAATGCAGGCATAGTCATTTATTCGGTCTTGGCAGGTTCCTCCGTTAAGGCATGGGTTCCCGGCACATTCGTTGATGTTGATCTCGCAGCGCTGTCCAGTGAATCCTGCACGGCAGCTACAAAAGCGCATGCCACCTTGGAGCATACACAGACCACCTATAGAAGCCAGAGTGGACAATAAGTATCTATAAATACAGACATTTCAAGCTTTATACAATTAGAAAGAACTCAATCCCTCATAAATCTGTCAAATCCATTGTGACCACAACATTGTGTATTGTTCCTCTTAACAGAGAGCAATATCCTAGATCCCTGCATGTTTATAAGATGACACTAAACTAAACTGTCTTTGAGTATTTGTCGCCTTTCACCAAAAACCTGCAGCAAGCGCTGGTGACATTTACAAGCCGTTGCTCCGAGCTGCTGAATGTTTATATGGAAGACAATAGACACCAAGTTCCCAACAATTCCTGTTGTTTCGCACTGCTTCCAGTTGCAGGAATTTAAAAGCTGATGGGGTGGGGGTTCAGAAGAGGGGGGCATAGGGGCCAAAGAGCAGAGGAAGAACGTACCATTAGCGCAGGGAAGCGACGTGCACTTGTCCACTCTCTTCTCACAGTTGAGTCCGGTGTAGCCATGAAGACACTCACACATGTAGCTTCGGCCATTGTCTTTCTCCCAGCATTTGCCACCATGGAAGCACGGGGAGTCAGCGCATGTTAGCAGGTTGTGCTCGCAGTGGGTGCCCTCGAAACCTTGGGGGCATTTGCACATGTAGCCGGTCTCCAAATTCTTAAGAATACAAGAAAAAAAAAAAGGATATGAGCAAAAAAACAAAACAAAAGCAGCCTTTATCTGAATGGATTTGTATGAAGTCTACTCACAGTGCATATGCCTCCATTCCTACAGGGGTTGCTGTCGCACACTTTCATCTCCAGATGACAGTTATCTCCAGTGAATCCTGGCAAGCATGTGCATGTGTAACTCCCTTGACCTGTATTCATGCAGGTGGCGCCGTTCAAACAGGGATGATGATGGGTGCAAAAGTTCAGGTCTAAAAGGGAGGTGGAGAAGATGTTTTTTTTTTTTTTTAAGTGGAACCGGAGGGAGGAAAAAGAGCAATCTACCCTGGATATGCATGTGTCAAGCTATGAATACCCTTCAGGGGATTAACTAATTTACTAATGCTTTCAAACTAGTTCCAACACAGTAATATGAGAGCATCTATTCTACATAGAAACAACAGGAGTGGGACAAGTTGTGTGTGGTTTACCTTGGTCACATAATAGGCCTCCCCAGCCTTCCTGGCAGTTGCACTGCCAAGGTAGCTGGCAGGTACCATGCTTACAGGCTGGGTACTTCCTGCATTCATCGCAAAATGTCCCCTGCCAACCTTCTCTGCATCTGAAAAATAACAACACATGTTTACGGATTATTCTAGGTAACATCAATAAGTTTCTCTGGCAACTGTATATAAAGCTTCAGCTCTCGTAGACATGCTAGCTATTGTTATTGAACTTTATAGATTAAGTGTAAACAACCATGTGTTATAGCTTTGTTAGGAATTTACTGGCGAGAAGCTAAAAAAAAAGAGCAGTTCTGCAACATTAGAAGCTCATTTATCATATTTAAATCCTTGTAGTATTACATGGTGGAATCCTTTGCAGGAATATGATAAATTACAGAGTGAATTTTTGGTAAACGTAGCTATAATCAATAATGTATATACAAACGTCGTTTTGCAACATCAGTCAAACCAACCAAGACTATATCTAAGCCAAAGAAGTAACGTCAATGATGGATTTAGGTCTAAAACTGGAGCTAAAGAGATTTGAGGAGGAATTTCTATCAGCGATGGGAGTAAGTGTGAGAATTATTCTTGTTGCTGAGCAAATAAATGGGAGAGGGTAGTGATAGGAAGGGAACGTGGGAAGAAAAGAAATCAGAAAGCTCTGTGTTACTGTAATAACCTAAAAGAGCTGCTCCACTTCCATATTTGAATTTTCCAAATATATAATGCAAATCAGCAGGATTTCTTTATTAAAATATTTCAAATCATTTGGTTTTTGATCTAATATAAAATGCTTTTACATTACTCTTTTTCAATCCCAGCAGTAGATTCCTTTTATTGGTTATGTTTCCTATTCTGCCGACAAATACAGTGCAAAACACGCTCTTTGGTTATTAAAGAATGATGGTTGATGAGAAACAAAAGCAAATAACACTGCTCACATATCCTGTGTTCCAGCACATAATTCAACACTTCATAATTTTTATACTTACACACATTCCCCAGGTTTGGAGCAGTTCCCATTCCTCTCACTGCACCCCTCAAGGCAGATAGCTGCAGTTAAAAAAATATATATCTTAAATTATACAAAGCTTTGTTTGAAAATACACATTCTTAAAGACAACTGTTAGATTGTAAATATGTTAGATAATCCTTTAATACTCCACAATAACAACCATGAAAGCTAAAGAGCTGGTTATTTCTCAAAATAGGCACGAGGCTTTTGTCCTTCTCAACTTTTGTCATCTGATCTAAACCTGTCCGCCACACCCAAGCACAGCTGCCCCTTGAAGGCAGAGATGCATGATGGGGGTCTGCGGCGGGTGGGCATGGCAGATAGTTTGTTTGTCCTGTTTGAAGTGTACTGGTCTGGCATGACACTGATTCGCGGGACAACATATCAGGCGGCTGACAGTAAAGCGCTCCGCTTTAAGTCCGGAACAGATGCTCGCTCTCAATAGCAGACAGCTGTCACTATTGTTGTTTGTGGTCCGCCGCAACCATATTTGCAGCTGCTACTGCCGAGCGCCCAACAATGGAACGGGCTAAACATCGCTGGCGCGTGGCGGATAATAATGCCGCGATTAACCTTGGCGCGTGCTGTCGCCCGGACTCCTCCTATCGATGCTCGCGTGCCCCCTCCTCCTCCTCCTCCTCCTCCTCCTCCACCTCCTTCTTTCCCGCCCGAGGATTAAGTTACCGGGCACGCGCGCATACATCCCTCCTCCGAGATGAACCCGAAATGAAACTAACTGCAAATTCTCAAAAACTGCTTTAATTGCATCATTTATCCCATATTAAGTTCAAGAAAGTGGACTTAAATAGTCCAAGTTCTTTTCAATTCATAGCATCTAATGGGTGTCTACTTTTAAGCAGATGCGTAGCCAGAAAATTTTAATAATGGTGGCCAGTCAAAAACCAATGTAAACTGAGGGGTGGCCGAAAACTGATAGGCGCCAGAACCTCTGGGTCAATCTACACTGGAACGAGCACCACATCCAGATTTTCTAAATATGACTAAGGATACTTTCCTACAGCTTTTGCTAACAAATAGATGCATATATTCAAACATCCACTCTGTCTGAATATAAGGTTTAGTGGAAAAAATGTCTGGGGCGAACATCTTTTCCTTTGTCATTACTTACTATTATCAAAAAAAATGTTAATATTTACATGGACTAATATCTACATTAAGTTATTATTAAAGTAGTTACTTATCTATGATTTCCCTGATGACTTGCATAGACACATAATTTTCTCTTTACCCCATATAACACAAAATTTAGTTCTGAAGAGAGCATGAATTCTGTATATATCAACTTTAATTTTTGTATTTTGATGTGTATAATTAACCACAGTGTTTTAGTTGTCAAGTAATGGTGAATGAATGAAAAATACTTTTTTTAAAATAAGTTTGAACATTTCCCTTGAGAGTATTACAGCTGCCACCATCTGTATTAGAGATATGATTGGCTAAGGGTGGCCATGGCCACCTCTGGCCCCCCATCTAGCTTGACCCCTGCTTTTAAGCGGAACCGCTCAATTAACAGTTCTTTTAGGAATAAATAGAAAAGAGGAAACTATTATATCCAGATTACGTTTTGATCATACAAGGTTAAATAGTACATTATTTAAAATGGGGAAAACATCCAACAGGAAATTGTGATTTCTGTTTTGAAGAAGAGACAGTAAAACATGTTTTGTTAGTCTTTCTAAATATTCTTTTGATAGAAGTAAATTAGTTAGTCGATTATAAGAAAATAAATTGCAATTAAATATACAAGATATTTTGGACAAACTCTCTACTTCTAAATGTTTTTTTTTTTAATTTAATGAATTACCTTAAGAAAACAAAATTGATAGAAAGAATATAAGATTTATTAACTTAATTACTATAATTTTTATTTTTAATGAATTTTTTGTTTTTTGGAAGAATTTATATATAGCATCCCAATCCAAACTCCATTCCAGAAGATGGTGGTAATGCTCAGCAATAAGTTGCTCACCAACCGCCATAAATAAAGAAGAAGAACAGTTCTTTTATGTCCAGAGGCAGTCCAATAGTATATCTGGCTCTGAGCAGAATCTGATGTGAGGAACCCTTTTCAGTTAAGATCATCACCCACAACAATTTTTTACACCACTTCAAATTTTTGCTTTTTTTTTTTCCAAGCAGGATTGTTTGAAAAATATTTGATTCCTAAATAGCGCTAAATAAGTTGTGAGGACAACATAAAATCTTCACATAGTCCAGAAGGCGATTTTTTTCACACAACTTTTATTGGAAAATAAACTAAATAAATGTTTTATGCTCTAAGCATTTTAATATCTAAAATAATGATTTTAACGTATCTTAAATGTGTAATTTATACATTTTTCAACCAAAATCAAAACTAGCTCCATTCTATATTAATGTCAGTAAAAAACAATTTTGACATCTCTATTTCTATGCAAACAGTGCAGTTTGGCTTGGGGGGGCCCTGTATACCTGTTAAGGGAGGGAGGGGCCCTACAGCAGATCAGTAAGCTTGTGGTTTAGACTGGCTCTGATTGTATAATCCATGTTTAGATGTTTATATATTACACATCTTACATAAGCATTATAATGGCTTACATCTAGAAAGTAATATCTACCACACACTGACCAAATGCTTTAAAAACATGCACCTCACATATATTATATGTGGTAGAATTTTTCTGCTAAATATATTTTAAATACATGATAGAAAATATGAATTAACCAACATATTGCAGCTTTGTGCCGATTTGTGCATTTAAAGAATTATTTCAGATAATTTTGAGGGAAAGCCAAAATATCTTTATGTTTACATTTGAAGTAGTTTATTAAACCTACTTCCAAAATATTAACCTGTTAAACTATAAAATAATGGACATGCAAAAAAATCTTACTACACTTATTCACTATGTATTATATATTAGCGACCAAGAACTTTATTTTCTAATTACTAATTACATTTCCTCTCTGGTGCCTCGTCTTGGGTGCCATAAGCAGCTATTTTTTTAATTTTTGCATTGTCCCCGCTCTTCAGTCTCGCCTAAGTGCAAGTTACACTAAACCCAAATGAACATTCCCACTCACATCCATGCATGGGAGTGTGGGAGCAGAGGGGAAATTATGGTGTCTGAAAGATGTTCAATCTGTCTTCTCCCATGTATATTTTCTGAAGTCATACACGATTGATGTGTGTGCGTAATTGCAACACGTGAGCCCATCTGGTTAGAATTTGGCGCCATGGTCAAAATAGCACATGCCAGTTTCTCTTTCGCCACCAGTGTGACATGGATGACAGATCCACTGTCACCCATGTGGTCACAGATCCAGCACATGGTAGCTATTACTCTCACGGTGCCTCCTTCCAATCTACTCTTTGATTAATTTGTTTTCGGTGAAAGGGGGGCCCTTTGGTATTTCGGAGCCAAATGGCATCATGAGCTCCCCTGGGCTCACTTGGAGCTTTTCAGATCATGAGAGCGTGTCTGCAATTTGTCCAAGTGGGTTTGCATGAGCATAATGTTGTGTTTACAATCTCACAACCAATTACACCTCTGAATTATACGACAGAAATAAGCTATCAAGGAGCATTCCACGGACAAACTGCCTGAAAAGCGATAGGATATCATTAGGTAACCTCTAGTGGAAGATCTCCTTGGACTTCGGTGATGATGACATCTTAAATACTATAATTGACTTTTGTTGGCAAGTGTGTAACTAGAAAAACACCCAGAGAGCACAGACTTCCGCCAAGCAGCAAATTTAGCCCCACATTGTGACACCTACAGCTAAATGATCACATGTTTAGATCTAGTAAAACATTTCCTTGAAATCCGTTAATGTTTTCAGCTGATTCTGCTCGTTAACCAATAACGTTCCTTTTTCTTGTGCTTTCTTCAGTAAAATACCAAGACTTTTTGAGTCCGATGCTTAGGCTGTCAATAGCCACTGCTGCCACCCTCTGGTTTAATGGGAAACTGTTTGTTTTGACAAATAATGTTAAAGAATCCTTTAAAGAATCCTTGCCTCTGGATTATGATGCGGATCATCACCAAAATTTACTGGATTATTTCTTGGACTCAGGTGTTACTTTTGTAAAAACGTAATTAAAATCTGTTCATAACTTTTCAAGTTATTCTGTTCACAGACAGATGCACAAACTTGACTAAAAACATAATAATACATCTAAATGCCTATATGGTTGTAGAAAAAGCTTTTATAAACGTTTCCATATTGCTAGATTGAAAAATAAATATCTACACCCAAGTTCAACCCAGGACTCTGAATTTGCATTTGCAAGAACAACTTTGCAACAAGATAACAGTTTAGGCATAAAAAGACAAGATTTTACTTACGTTCTTCACAGTATTTCCCTTTCCAGCCAGGAAGGCAGGACAACTGTCCATCTCGGGTGCAGGTGTAGTGCCCAAAGCGGTCATCCCTCGGTGTGCACTTCTTAGAACAACTGTCCCCATAGTAGCTCTCATTGCAGATGAACCGATAGGAATATCTGAGCTCTGTTTGCTTCTCGATTTGTGTGTCCTGGGACCAGTCAGTACCTACGGCAAGTTGTCTTTGGATGGCAAAAAGGCTGATCATAAAGTCAGGATTGTGGGTATCTGTAAAATATGAAATATCAATTAGAAAGCGAGAAAGGATAATAAAAGGTAAAAGATTTAGAGCTGCCTTTGATTCTCAAATACAATTTGATTCAGCTCAGATGAAAGATAAGCTTAGGTTAAAATGTCCACTTTTTTTTCCTGTCAGCAGAAAAAAAAAAAAAAAAAAACATTCCCAGGCTCAGTCCCCTCTTCCAAAGGGTAGAACAGCGTAAGGTGTAAAATACAGGAAGATGTAGTCAGGGGCTTTTGGCAGGCGCTGTGTATTCTCACCAAGAGCCCACAGCTCTTTCCCACGCCAAAAATAAAACTAGAGGAAGTTCAATTGTATTGGGCATAAGAATGAAAAAAGGTGCTCTGAAGTTCATAATAAAGGGACGCAGAGGCGTGAAAAATACCTGAAAGTATTCCCCATTAACATTATGATTAAGAAGTAAACGTTTTATAACCTTGTCTCATCAAATTGTTGTTGTTTTTTGGTTTGTTTGTTGTTTTTAACAGCTGAAAAAAAAAAAAAAAAAGAACTAAAGAGAGCTCCCTCCTGTGGTAGTATATGTTCCACTCACCTACAGGTAGATTTCCATAAGGTGAATGCCAGGCCTCAATAATTAATGAAAACGACCCCTGAGGAGAACAACATCCAGTTAGTGAAACCAATACAAACCGTTTAAAAATGTGCAACTTGTATTTTTCACATGTGGTACAGTAAAAAATAAAAAATTATGAGCGTTTGCATGAGTTCCAGTGTACAACACTGCATGGCCCCTCTAGATTTTAAAGTGATCGACGTCGCAGCGGTGCAATCTGATTGTCGCGAGAGCATTACCTAATGATATGGATTATATGAGCGGACCAATAACCGGTGCGCTCCCAACGCGCACAGCTGCTCCCCCGTTAAAAAGAACAACAACAAAACAACACAACACAAAAGGAATCTATTCTGCTGCCCAAAATGATCATTTAGATACATATATGCTATTTTCCTCCTACGCGCTTACCGGCCATCCGAACTTGAAGGGTATTTGAATGGGTCTTTGTAAAGTGGCGCTGTCCTTGGCGCTGAAAGAGTTCGTCCCCAGCACCGGTGTCTCCGTACTCCCAAAGATGCAGTCACCTGGCGACACCACAGCCTGGTAGTTTTTTAGGCAAATTTTAAAATAAGTCCTGCAGCTGGGTTTGCAAGCGTTCCCGTTTGCCAGCAAACCTTTGTGGTTTTTAAATTCGTGGAGATCCAGCTCAAAAACTCCCGACCCTAATACCTATAATAATAAAATAAAATAAAAGGGAAAATGAGATTTATTTTAGAAAACCTGCAAAACATAAAAGGAAACAACGGTCTCTTCGTTTGTTTATTATCTTCCATCCTCCTTCATACCTGTAATACTAACGTGGTGCTGAACGCGATGGTAAAGGTGAACCAGGCTGCCATCCTTCTCATTTCTCCAGGGCAGCCGTGTCACCAGCCAACAGAACCAACAAAACCTCTTTACTCCCAGTTATTTACACCCAAGGAAATTATTTCTTTTATGGGGGCAAAAAGGAAAATCTAAAAAACACATAAATCCTCCAATAGCTCCTCGTTGTCGTGCGTCAAAATGGTCCAGAGGAACCGTTCCCAAATCTCAAAGTTATCCTGAAGCTGAGGGAAGACCAGAATATCCACAGCTGCGCGTCGTTCAGGTCAGCAGGCGTCCCGCCGTGTGTATACTCCAAAGTGTGTCCCTCCGCTGAGTGCGTGTAAAGGCTTAAAGCTTGTTTTGGTTCTGAACTCTGTGCGTCAGTGCGCCACAGACGTACATCAGCCTCCTTATTACTACTGAATGAACCGTAGAGCGTCTCCACTCGGATATATAGACTTGCACTGCGCGGCTCATTACATAAACTGTCACTCACCCAACATAGCACCGCCCCCCTTCACATATTCAACCCCCTTCCTTTTCACCCCAACAGCAATTATCTAGATTTAATACCCAGTGGCAATGAGATACCCCACCAGTGTTAAAAATCCGGAGCATTTGTTGATATATTTTTAGAATCAAGGGCGCAGATTGGAATGTTTTACGCACAGAACAAGTGGACACAAAACTTTGACTCTACAGAGTAATACAATTAATTGAGGGTCTTTCGTGTATTTTTTTTCGCAGTTGGTTCCACTCAATTGCACGCCTAATCAGCTCTCACTACAGGTTTGGAGAGTCCTCCCAGACACACCACTGACAGGGCGCACTGGGGGAGCGTCCCCTGGGATGGAACACAAACAGCAACAGCAGCAAGAATGACATTAAACAATCAACCTATAGTTAACTTCTAAATTAAACTGATTTATTCCTACTGGTTTAATTGTTTATAATCATGCAGGTTATTGATGCGTAGATTTTTCGTATTTTTTATTTTTATAATGTGCTTAAAACAGCAAATAAACAGGCTGTCTTTCAATTTTACGCACGGTTTACGCACGGTTATGAAAGCTTATATTAAATGGCTGTTTTTAGTGCTAAGTGGTGGGCGTGTTTAATCTTGAACGTGGCGTGTGCCCCTTCGTGCCCACACATGCATTTTACGGTTAATAGCAGCGTGCCTCCTATTGTTGTCGCGCGTGTCCCTCTCTCGCCCTCATGCGGGTGTTCTTTACGGGACGGGAGACATAACTATTCAGCTGTATGCAAATCAGCGCTCTCTCTCTCTCCCTGTATCCTCTCATGGCCTTTAGGAGAGGCAGGCACTGGGCTCCCAGAACTGAGATTAAAGAATACCACTTTATCGGAAGGAAGAGATGCGCAAAGGCGTATACAATCTTTACGCAAGTTTTATTTTTGTGCATATTACCACAGAATTCCAAAGGCACATTACTTGGTCCATGTAATTTGATTTTATGTAGGCTATTTGTAATCCGATCATCCATCTGTCGGGACTTGGGTTCTGTGGCATCATATGTTCAACATTTAGTAGCTTTACCAGGTGTGGTCCAAATTTAGTAAATAACAAACGGGAATTTTGCAAGAAAATACAATTAGCCAAAGAGGATTGAATGAATGTGGTATATTTTAAAGAAGACGTGCTTTCCTAACTACAACCGCTGACTTTATTATTATCAGGATTTTTTGGGCTTAAAACCAACACAAAATAATACAGCATTCTGAAATGGAAAGGAAAATTAAACATTTATATTTTTTTCATAGATTAAAGATATTTTCTTTTTTATATAAAATGATTTTCATTGGGATTTTTTGTGCAAAAACGATACCGTTTTATTTTTTTTTAACATAGGCCTACAAAATCGGAAAATGAAGGCATACATTTGTATTTAGCTCCTTTATTTTGGTGCCTTTTACATATATTCCAGTACAACCAACTGTTTTTGGAAGCCAATTAATATTCACAAAGGATGTGCGTTATTTATTCATGCTAAAAACTATTCTGTAAAGATGTTTTAAAAAAAGAAAACTATCTTCCTGCTTTATGAAGAGCAAAGTTTTGAGACCATAGTGCATAGTGATGGCAATGTTAAGCGATAGCATGGATGAAATTTTTATTTCAGGGGGGGGGCAGGGTGCAAAGTTTTTTTTAGTATAACTAACTTCAGGGTGTTTGACCATCCAATCATTGACCTGATTCATGGCACATCAGATGTTTGTAAAATGAGCTTCTCAGGAGTGACAGCGGTGACAGAGAAGACTGTGGGCCAATCAGGAACGTGTGGGCGGTCTAAACTCAGGGAAGCGGGCTTCAGCTTGAGGTGTGGTTTTCTGTTTGGTCCTAGTGCTCAACGATTGTCTGTGTACTGTAGCGTAAAGGGCAGATTATACTTCTTCATCCACACACATCAAATGTCGCGCGCGTCTGATCACTTTTGCTGGTATGCTTCTGCAACGTTGGTCTGGAATTTCTAGGGACGCACAGTAGTTTCCCGCCAAAGCGCAAGGGGGAGCATGTTCGAGAACTCGCAAGAACTTTGGCGGATGGTAACAAGAACTTCTTCGGCTGCGCCAGCGGGAGTGTTTATTTTCCAAAAACATGTCTGAGGCATCGCACAAATGGTTGTACTTCCAAACCTGCTTGATCAACCTATCGTCGTGGTTATCCATTGTTGCTATTACTCCTCGGTTTTTAAAAATGACACGCCCCGGCACCGAAATGAAAAGGACGACCGCACAGACAGCCGGAAAGGCATACCAAGGACCAATCGCACCTGCTTTTTGTCGGCACACTTCCGGTTGAGGTCTGCGCAGGTTTGCGACCGTCCGACGCCTAGTCAGGATTTTTTTAGGTGCGTGACGACAGTTGCAGAGCCGGGGGGCGTTGTCGCACAGAGACAGATTTGATGGTTGCAGAGGCTATGCATCAGAAGTAAAAATTGGCCTTACCATTGTTTTTGGACAGTAAAATGTGCAGGGGACCAAAGCGGACTTTTGAAAAAGTGCAAGGGACATGTCCTTAATGACGTCCATGCAAGATAGTATAAAAAAACAGTTCTGGTGTTACCTTGGATTCTTAATTGTATTTAGTTTTGGACTTTAGCCATTATAACAAGCAAACAAGGTTTTATCTGCACTATCATGGACCGGCTATATGTTAAATGTCTTGACTCGTAAACGTCTAAGTCTCTACTGAAGAACCCTTCTTACAGCATCCTGCTGTCCCTATGGAGTTTGCTCACCAATGCTCTCTAAAATAATCTGTGTGGCCTTCAGAAAACAGCACAGTTAATCTGTTTATGTTGAAAATTAATTATACACATGAATCTATTAACAAAATGGTTAACTTCCATAGGCAGTTGGTAGCACTGTGTAAGATTTATGAAAAGGAGGCTGAATCGAGCCCAGATCTTTCAGACTTTCATTTATGTAAGAAAAATACAGTTGGCACATTACATTAAAATAGAAATATTCTTGAAATACATTTATTTAGCAGTATTAATGGGATAACATTTTTCTAATGTTGGAATACATTGGAAAGTTAAAGCACAATGATTTTTATAATCATCTACCTAGATCAGGGGTACTCAAGTCCAGTCCTCAAAAGCTACCATCCTGTAACTTTTAGATGCATCTCTTCTCTAACACACCTGAATTGGAGGCTCAATCCCCTCATTGAGCCCTGGAGTGGCATGGTAACGAGCCACTCATTTGATTCAGGTGTGTTAAAAATGGGGCGCATCAAAAAGTTGCAGGATTGTATTTCTTGAGGACTGGACTTGAGCACTCCTGACCTAGATGATAATTATTATTTTAATAAATGAAAATCAAATCATCAACACAAAGCAATGTGTAATCCCTCTAAGAAACATTTTACAAAATGTGACTGAGAATTCAGAGATTTAAAAGATATCCACATTGTAAAGATGTAATTTGACGTCATGCTAAAAGACTAACCAAACAGGATTTTCAAAATCCTTTAGATAAATGTTGATCTCTTTTTCTGTGAATAACCACTCTTACAAAGCTGTTAACATTAACTTCCCCCAAAAATGTCTAAATACAGCTGGAAAATAACTACTTAAGTTAAATTGGATACTGGTCTTAAACCATTTAGAGAACCCTCAAATTAACATTCAGAATTTTTAACCATAAAGCAGTTACACATAATTTGTCATTGTGTTCATGTAACTGTCAAAGGTGGTTGACTTATAATACTACATATTTAACTCTTATCCACTAAAAGTTCGAATTTGGTAATAATAAGAAAAGAAATCAGTACTCAGGGAGGATTTTCTGTTGGTATGTCCTGGTATTTTTTCTATTAATATCTAAAACATTGTTTATTATTACCACCGCATTGATTGGGTCTGGAAATAACCATTAAAAGACAAAACTTACTGTATTGAAATAGGTGTCAAGTGAAAGAAAAAATGCTGGCAACTATTTTGGTATAATTGTGTAAAATGAAAAGTATTTAAAAAATAAAAATGTCATGATGTGATGTCGAAATAATGAAAATGATAATTTGGCAGATCCGGTCCACGAACCTGAAGAGGTTTAACAGCCTAAAAACCAATCAGACATCCAGAAATTAAACTTTTTTTTTTTAATTTACAGATAAGAATTTAAAAAAATCTGACAAATTTAAACTTATTTTACAGGATAATTCATTCTGTTTTTAGTCCAAGTAAAACTAAGACAGCTTTTACGGAATCCTTTTTGTCCTTTCGTCTTTCCTCTCTGTCTCTCTGAACTCCACATGACTTTAGCGTGTTTGCTTTTCATCTGTCATTTTCCTCCCATAAACTGTGCACGACTGAGAGTGAAAATGGAGAGCATCTATATTTATTCAGTGTTCATAGGAGGCAGACGTGATGTACTGGCTAAATGCATGTCATATTGACACACCTGTTGTGTCTGCAGCGGGTCCACAGAGACACAATGGCATTGCCTTTACTGACTGTATTCTTGTGTCTATATACTCCTGCTTCTCCTTCTGTTACTTGTTGACAGAACATTTTTGATGGTTCTTCCTGATTGTATTGCTTTTTGGTACAAAGGAGGATTCTGTTGCTGTCTGTGCACTTTACACATTCTGCTTCATTTTTTTTTTGGCTTTTTATTTCAGGTTGGAGCTCTTTAGTGCCCCAAATGTCCCACCAGTAATGCGTTTCAATCATGGATATTGCCTTGTTTATCTAGTTTTATAGCCATCTGTTTCGGTCGAGGTAACATTAAATGGCAATAAAAAGTGTGACAACTGCAGTTCATGTGTTTAACAGGTGAGCAGAGTTGATAACACCAAACTGTCCTCAATATAGAGGAGAGGGGCTTATGCTCTCTTCTGTACATAAAAACTTTATTATAATGCTGTCCAATGCAGAAGGCTCTTCGTTTATTACACTGTTTGCACTG